CTTATTCTTGTATTTTAAAATATCATTGAATTCCGATATCTTCCATTCGTTGTTTTTTGGTTAATAGTGGGGTTTGAACTCAGGGCCTGTGCTTGTTAGGTAAGTGCTCTACCACTTGAGTTCCAACCCTAGCCCTTTCTGCTTTATTTTTCAGACAAGGTTTCACTTTTGCCCGAGGCTGGTTTACCTCTGCCTCCTATGCAGAAGGTATTACAGATGTGCACCACCCACGCCCACAGTGTTTTTTAAGATAGGATCTAGCTAACTTTTTTGGCCTTGCTGGTCTTGAACTGTGATCCCTTGTCTCTGCCTCCTGAATAGATGGGATTACAGACATGAGTCATCATGCCTTGCTTTCAACACTTTTAACACCATTATGCAATTATTAGGGACCTGGTCACAAAATCCAACAGCATTTCCTGCAATGTTTGACAGTGCAAACCATTACTTTCTTCTGTGAAACTCTCCACAGATACTAAGAACTATGGTATCTGGGTGCTGGTGGCTCACTCCTATAATCCTAGCTACTCAGGAGGCAGAGATCAGGAGGATCGCAGAGATCAGGAGGATCGCAGTTCAAAGTCAGCCTGGGCAAATAGTTCTTGAGACCCTATTTCAAAAAACCCTTTACAAAATAAATTAAATGAATAAATAAATAAAATAAAAATTAAAAAAATAGGGCCGGTGGAGTGGCTGAAGGTGAAGGCCCTGAGTTCAAGCCCCAGTACCGCAAACAAACAAAAAGAAGTTATAGTGATTCTTTAAGAGGCAATGGGACCTAGTGGCAGATTGTCTATAAAGGATGAAAAGAAGGGTGGAGAAAAAAATATTTTTTTAAGCAATTTTTTCCCCATTCAATCCCCTTTAACACTATTTATACTAATCTAAAAATTACTGTATTAATTTCTGCTTAGTCAATATTAATTTGATTCTAAAGTGGTTAGGCTTAAAATAAAGTAGCCTTATTCAATTGGAGAATAAGGTTTGCCATGTGGAAGTGAATAATATTCTATAGAATTTACCTTATTCTCCAGAAGACTAAGTCAGTGTGAAATAATGGCAAGTATACTGTATTGGAAGACTTGGGGTGGAGACCAGGCTTCCTATTTGTTTTCCTGACTGACTCTTGGTAAGTCACTCAATTTCTCTGGGTCTCAGCTTCCTCTTGTTTTAAAATATCACAGACTTTAAACAAAGAACTGAGAGATAAGAAATTAAAAAAAAAATGTATGTTGGGAAAATGCCAGGCAGTGATATGAAAGATTTATGATATTAATACATGAAATAAAATTCCATATATTTTAGCAGGAAACTTTAAGTGGAAAGAAAAAGCCATTGTGACTTTTATAAAATCAATGAGCTTGGGAAGTGAAAAGAATCTGTGATAGGAAAACAATTTCTTATGTAGTTCCTCTGAGAAAAATACAGAGCAACAAAGACAAGGGAGACTTTAGTTATACAGCTTCACAAGAATAAAAAACCATATTTATTACGAGTAAAACTAAACTACAATTAAACTACCAAAAACTACCATAAGGGAGGCCAGTAACAGTTTAATAATTGGAAGAGCATTAGTTTGGAAAGTCTAGAATTAAAAAGATAGTCCTGTATCCCTACTTTTAAGAAGTTATAAAAGTTCAAAAAAGATAACTATATAAACTATACGTTATTCTTCTTTTGGAAAGAACTTGTCCCAAATACACCTCATCTGGAGATATCACATTACCTGAATTTCATTGTTCAAATGTGGACCACAAAGGGATGTGCTTTCCCTCAAAGATGAGGCTTTCAAAAATAATAACACGCTTCACAAAGAGGAATCTAAATGGCTAGTTGATATGTGAAAAAGTCCTCAACAGTGTAACTGAGGAAATTAAAGTTAAAACTGAAATGAGATACTAGTCTACACCCACCATCCTGGCAAAACTGAAAAGGGTCAACAATACCGAGTGTTGTGAGGTGTGGAGCAATAGGACTCATACCCAGCTAGTGCAAGTGTACCACTTTAGAAGACAGTGTGGCATTATTTATTCAAGTTTATGACATATGCTCCCAAGTATAGATCATACAGAAACTGATGTAGATGTGATGGATACGTATCTGAGGAATGTTCACAACAGAATTTATAACAGCCCCAAATTGGACAACCCAGACATCCATCAACAATAGGATTACTGAGCAAACTGTCATATATTGCTACACAGAAAAATTACAGCTATGTGAACAATCTGAACAACACATGGATTAAAACAATGTTTTAATGTTGAGCAAATGTAGCAAGCATAACATTACATAGTATATTGTTCCATTTACATAAAGTTGAAAAGAAAGGGCAAAACTAAACAATATATTGCTTAGGGATGAATGTCTGTGATAAAACAATAAAGAAAAGCAAGGAAATGATTATCACAAAAGTTAGCATAATGGCTACCTCTAGGAGGAAGGGAAAGCTGTGTTCAGGAAGGTCATTAGGGGATTTGGGGGAGCAAGCAATATTCTACTTCTGACCTTGATTGCTTACAAGACTGGTTCTTTTACAATTCTTCATTATACTATGTTTCACTTTATGCATTTAAATTGTAAATTTCACAGTAAAAATGTTAAAATATTGTCCATGGCATTTCTAGAAAGAAAAGGAAATGTTGCCAAATTATTTAGTTAATGCACATTTCAACAGTTGAAACCACTGGTTAGTTTCTCATAAGAACTCATTTAAAGTGTAGGAATCGTGAACCCTATACAAATATCCTTTTGTTACATTTTAACATAGTATGCAAATCTTTATCATACACTGATGAACCAGGGAAAGAACTTTGTTAGCTGAAACTTCAGAGTTTTTTGAATTTTGAATTCTGATTTCTCCTCTGGATTAATAAACTAAAAGGACACAGAAGAAATTAGAAATAATGAACTTCCTCCTTTCCAGCAGCAGCTCCAGCTGTTTTCCTGTGATATCAGGCTAAGTGGAGAGGTGGGTGAATCTTGCTCACAAGCTTAGAGCAGCTGCTACTTTCGCTACTCTGTCCCTCAGTGTTAAGGTTCTAAGGTAGAACACTGAATGGAAACAGATCAGACCTTTGAAAAACTGTTGTGCACACTTTTCTGGAAGTGTTATCTGCTGGGTTACAGAGCTCTGATGCTTGCACTCTTCATTCAAAGCCCACAAAGTTAAACTATAAGGTACTTAGCTTCATAAAATCCCTAAATCTGTTTTATTCCTTTAGTTTCCGTTGTAAGATAGGTAAAGGGACAAAACCAAAATCAATTTATTCTGTAGCCATGCGGGTTGTTGCTTGTTGAGCTGATTCCCGTGAATCTTATTTAGAAAGATACAGCGGGTGATTGGGTCGTATAAAGATAGTCAAGTCCAAAGTAATTAAGGCAAGATATTTAATCTGACTCTTGGAACTTTAGGTCAAGGACAGTAGCTGCTTTTGTAGCAACTTCCTTCTCTTCTCACCTTTTCTGCAGCATTTTAATGAAAACGAGCCCTTGACTTTACCAATCAGTTTCCTTTGACTCCTGTTTGCACATGGCGGCTGCAGGAGTGGCAGAAAACCTGAGTTCCCCAAATTTGCCTTTAACACCCTTGCTCCTATTTTTCCCTTCCCCCCAGTGGAAAGACTTGTAGTACTTGAAATACCCATCACTGCTGCTTCCAGAGAAAGGGGGTGCCAGGGTCCAGAGTCAGAACTGTCGAATCTGTCCTCCCTTTATCACTGCTACTGCTTTCATCTCATTCGCTCACGACTCAGCAGGACAGCTCCAAGACAGACTTCTGAGAATTCTGGCCTTTTACCTTAAAATTTCTTTTCCTAGACAACTACACTTTAAACTGAGTTTTTTACTTGAATTAACTTACCAGGATAACATCTTGCGATAAGCTTCAAAATAGTAATATTTATTTCACAAATATTAAGACAGACACAAGACAAAGGCGAACATTTCTAGATGACGGCAAGGGACACTGGTGAATAACCAGGCTCTTCTCTCCAAAGTTTCAAACCACAAGCAAGAGTGATTCCTAAAAATGAGGCGCTACTAAATTCTCCCACTGAAAACCAGTCAAAAATCCCTCTCCAATCTCCCAGAGGAAGGCTCCCTTTCACTCCCTCCTCCCCCCCCGCAAATCCGCTCCCTTTCCACTGAAGACCAAGGTTGTGACTCCGCACTCAAGCAGCACCCGTTTCCTTTCACGGCTGGGGGGGGGGAGGGGAGGGGTGTTCTTTACAACCGGTTGCGGTTTACAAAGCGCTTGCTCTTCCATCATCGTCTCTGAGCTCCGCGAGTGCCATGCGAAAGAGGCATTCATTCATTCATTCATTCACCAAACATTTGCTCGGCCGACCACAAGTTATCCGCCGCCAGGTCTCACCCCACGCCCTGGGAAGGGTGGGGCGCTCGCTCCCTGGAGCAGGTGCAACGATTAGGCTGTAGGTCAACTTCTCCACAAGTCCGGCTCTTCAAGGGCCAGTTTGGGGCCAAATGCCTCACCTTCGGGTGGTGCGCGCCAAAGCCCGGCCGCGCAGCTTGGGCCTCCTCACAGCTCCCGCAGTAGCAGTCCCCACCTGCCCTGGAGGAAACCGCTAGAGAGCAAGCAAGTCACCGCCCTCGGGTCAGGGGTAAGATCAGGAGGCAGCTTAGGCTCGACTGGGCTCCTCCCCTTCCTCTCTTCAGTTCTGACGCGGCCGTAGAGGCGGCGGCGGCAGTGGCGGCTGCGGCGGCAGCAGCGAGTCCCGCGGCCCGAGGCGCACCCACCCGCTCTCGGATCCTCAACTTCCTCTTCCCTTGGAGCGTCATCAGAGCGCGCCAGAGTCGCCCAGGGCGGGGTGGTTGGAGAGGGGGGGAAAAAAAAGGCCAGCGGAGGAAGCCTCAGAGCGGAAAGAGAAGGGCGGGGGAGGAGCGCGGTTGCTAGGTGACTTATGTCATCAGTAGGCGCCGCTCTCCTCCCGCCCCTCTCTCTGGAGTGAGGCGAGAGCCCCGCACAGAGCGAGGGAGACAGCGAGCAGAGCTCCGGGCGCTACCGCCACCGCCGCCGAGCTAGTGAGAGCGAAGGAGCATCCCAGAGACCCAGCCCCCGTGCACTGGCCGCCACCGAGACCTCCGCCCTCACCTGGGCCAGCGGGAGCCGCGGCCGCCTTTCTCTCCCCCCCTCACCTTCCCGGCCGGCAGCGGCGGCTGCACACGCCGGAGCCGGAGCCCGAGCCGGAGCAGGAGCCGGCGGCAGGGGGGCAGGGAGGCGGCTACCACGGGCCGGGACTGGTAGCTTCTCCGTGGTGAGAGGACGCTGAGGAGGGGCTGGAATTTTGCCTCGTCCCGGGGCGTGGGGCGAAGGACTCCCAAGGTGTAGGGAGGGGGGTCCCAGCCGCAGCGACACATGCGGGAGCCGGGAGCGGGGGCGGCGCCGAGCGGAGCCGGCCGGGTCCCCAGCCTCGCGGCCGCCTCGGCCACCCGGCTGGGTCCGTAGCATCTTGCCCCGGAGTGTATGAGCCGGGGCCCCAAGCCCAGCAGCCACCCCCCGCCCGGGGGGGCGGGGACCCCAATGTGAAGCAGCGGCTGGGGCGGCGGGGAGAGCAGGACCGGCGCCGCCGTCCTTTCCCTACCTTCCCCTCCCCTCCCCTCCGCCCCCTCCGGGGGTCTTCTCTCCCGATCAGTCTCCGGCCCCCCGGCTCCTCGGCAGGACTCCGGGAGTTCTTAGAGTCCCCTCCCCCGCCCCAGCCCCCCCCAGGGCGGCGGGGCCGGGGGGGATCCGGGGGGCCGGCCGAACCTCCGCCCAGAGGAAACTTTATAAAAACAAACCCGGAGCTTCCCAAACGTGACTGTCCCGGGACCAGCGGCCCTGGACCGGCCGGAGCCCCAGCCTGAAGAGACCCAGGAAGAGGAAAAGAAGAGGTGAGGGGCCGCCGGCCGCGCGGAAGAGCCCCGGGTGGCTGGCTGGCCGGCTTGGCGACACCGGCCCCGCTTCTTGCTCAGTTCCACGCCCAGCCTTCCGCAGCCGCCGCCGGCCCGAAGGAGGAAGGGAACCAGCCCACTTTCCCGGCGCCGCGGCCCGTCCCGAAAGCGTGAGTGGCCGCGGGAGAGGGAGGGAATGGCGGGGTGGAAGGTGGGAGCTACCGCTGCTGGCTTTTGGACCTGGCTGGCGTTTTTGCGGGCGGGTAGGGAGCGTAGTGGTGACAAGGGGTCCGTGGACCGATCTTCCTTACAGGCGAGAGAGCCGTGGGGAGATAGCTGTGTGCTTTGTAACCTTGTAGGTGGCGGGGGGAAGGCAAGTCTGTAGGGTGTTCTTAGAGTTCTGTTTGTCCGTGTCCAGAGTGGGAACTTGCACCTTTCTGGCCAGTAATTGGCAAAGGGAATTGAGGAAGCCAGAGCTGATGTCGCACAAAGGACATCTCTGTGCTGTACCTTTTCTTGATACACCGGCTGTGATAGGACGCTGCAGTTTTTGTTTCTGGGGAACTCATAGGGATTCCCACGTGGGAACCACGCACTGTCTGAACCCTCGAAAGTAAAATTTCTCCCCCCGACCCCCCGCCTTTTTTTCCTCCAGTTTTCCTTAGGAGCAAGACTGATTTTCGATTTTCATTTTCGTAGCTATTGGTACTAGAGGTTTTTTTCCTCTTCTCATTTCCTGAGTCCACAATTCGTATGTATAAAGAGGACACTAACAAGGTTTCAGTTGCTTAGGAAATTATGAGTTCTTACCAATCACTACTTATTGGGAAATTACTAGGGGGAGAGCACTTATTGCATTAGCTATAGCTTTTCCTTTACCCATATGCTTTTCTTTTTTAGTAACATGTTTTACATGACAGCACTTTTTTTTACTTGGGAGAGCGGCATGAGACTGCTTATTTGGTTTGTCTTTACTTTTCTGTTAGTTTAGGAGAAAATACTCATATTCTTTCAAGAATGGCTTTTTTCTATTATTTTAAGTTGAAGTCTATAAAATCTTTGATTATATTTCAGGTATCATCTCAGAGTACCGAATTAGAGATACAAAAAATAATTAACATTTCACATATTTAAGGATTAAATTGTATACCTTAAGGTTAAACAGAGAATGGAATTTTATGTAATAAGGCATGGGTAGTGGTACTCGAGTCCATCTAAACTAAATGTGGGCTCGCTTTCTTTGAAGCATAGGGTTAGAGATGCTTTGTAGCAATGAGTGGAAACCTGGGGTTATCTATCTATCCAAATTTGTCCATTCAGGATCTTGATTAAATTTAAGCTTTCTCAAATTTAACAGTATTTTGATACTATAGTTTATCTCTTTTTAAAGTAATAGTTCTGTAAATTAGCCTGTGTATTATGTAACAATTTATTTACTTATTTCAAGCCTGCCTCCTTCAGAGTTTGTGTTTTGAGAAATATAAAATTAAGTCTGAGTTTTCCTGGTTTTACAGATTTTGATGATTTCTATTTACTGCCATCTTTTCCAACTCTTTCTCAGAATAATTTCTTTCATTTCTTTGGCCACTTTGCTCTCCTTTGGAACTTTGCTGTTTTGTTTTTCTTTAGCCACGTTGGTTTTCTTATGCTTTTATAAGGAACCTTAAATTTTATCTATTTTAAATGGGAAGTGGCATGAAAATATTAAGTTGTGGGATACAAGGTTAGATTTAAACTCAGAAAAAAGGTTTTTAGATATGTTTATTTTGTGACCTTGAGAAAGTCATGCATTCCATTTTTCACAAAGATGATGGAGAAATCTAGTCTTGTATAGCTGGTTTATTGGGATGGAGGGGAGGATAAACCATGAAAATACACTTTTGAGTACAGATTGCACTTGGTCAAAGTTGCTTACTAACTTTAAGACCACTTTTATTGCTTTGACTATAAATTGGTTAAAATCATGGTGATGTTTCATTGTATATTTGGATAGAAATGACAAGGTATTTGGGGGTCTCTGTCTTAGGTGCTTTTACTTATAGGTGGCAGAAACAATCAAATGCAAATTGCACAACTGTAGAAGAGCGGAAATGGACCAGTATTAATTTAACACCACTATATGCTAGGTACTGTGTTTGGTATCTTAAGAGTTGTGAGTGCATGTCTACATTTTCATTGGGAAAATGTTGGTTTTTGAACTACACAGAAATAATTGGAGTGCCTGAGCCAAATCTGGAAAGGTCTCTTTCAGGAAGAAAAGAGCATATGGAGACGAGATACTTAAGGCTTTTGGAATTGAAAGGTGTAAGGGACAGATCTAATTAGGAAGTTGACTTGATGTGAATACTACAGAGGAGGTTGTTGAGTAGGGTTAAGGTCAGTTTATGTTTATGTAGATGCATGGTTATAGCCCAGGCAAGCAATTGAGAACTGTCTCTGAGAGGGTAGTTCCATATGATTGGGGAGAAATTACATTTTAGACCAAAGGCATTATCAGCCCTGGATTAGTATTTTATTTTTCTAGGGAGCCAACATTTCTACACCGTGGTTATCCAAGGGCTGTACAGAAGGAGGAGTGAAAAAGGAGAGGCTTCTAGTATTTTAGTATGATGCTAGTGGTTTTCTCATAAAAAATAATTCTTTTTCATTTATTTAGGTTTTTTTTTTTTTTTTTTGTATTGTTGGGGTTTGAACTCAGGGCCTCACACTTAATAGGCAAGTGCTGTACCACTTGAGCCACTCCACCAGCCCTGTTTTGTGTTGAGTAATTTGAGATGTGCCCAGCTGTGTGCCAACAGCGCCCACCTGTGTAAAAAAGAATTTTTAAGCCAAACTTTGTTAGGGACTTTGTTTAGACTTAGTTTTGGACATTTAATTTTGGATTAAGAGTTGGATACTGATACAGTTTCAAGATAGTAAAATAGTTTAATGAGGGATATGCTGATAATGAAGAGTTGAGGTCATTTTCAAAGCATTTAGGTTTCTGAGACTGCTAATGGAGAGTGAAGAGCTAAAAAATGGGTATTTTTATTTTGGAGGATGAAATTTGTATTAGAGTAAGCAAAGATAAAGCACAGTGACTGGATGAGACTCTTCCTAAAAAGAGAGTGATGCTATGTAAGTGGGTGACAGTTACAGTTGAAAAGGAAGTAGCAGGCTTAAAACATGACTACCAGTTTAGTTCTACAGTACATGATTCTGTACTTTTTTTTTCAGTTCTGGGGTCTGAACTCAGGGTCTCATGCTTGTTAGGTAGGCTTTCTATCACTTGAACCTCTCCTCCAGCCTGATTCTGTATTTTTTCGAAACAGCTACAGGTTTTTAATAGAGTATTTGGTTCTTTGAGATAAAGTTCAGAAAAACATAGGATTTCATTGTTGGAGAACTTATAAATAAAAGACAGATTTGTTTCTCCAAAATCATGTTTTTGAAGTTTGCCTTGCATTATTATTATCTTAAATTCGATCTTACTACCACCAAGTGGAGCTAAAAATAGCTGACAGGGAATGCTATTTCCCTTGCTTGCAGTTGATGTGCGTCTTTGTGTCTCATACAATGGAGGGGATATCCCTGTGTTGGCACAGCAGTGCTGAAAATTGCTTAAATTTTTTTTTTTGTTTTGTTTTTAGAAAACCTTTTTATTAAAAAACTGCTTGGCACTTAAAAATATTCAGCCATCTTTGTGGCTAGCATTTGGTGTTGACTTTAACAAAGATTAAGGATTGTGAGTAGAAATATATACTCACACTTTTTGTGTTCCTTAGTTTGAAGTCAACACCTTGGTAGACCTTTTTTGGCTTCTTGAGAGAGTATTCAATTGGCAGAACCCTCTTGGGGAAGTTAGACAGGGAGATCAGTCTAAAATGATTCTAGTGTGAGGGAATAGGGATTGTAATACATGCTATAGTGGGGGGCCTTCTCTCTCCTTCACTTTCCACAATATTTCTTATGCAGGTGAAGTCCTGTTTAGATGGATTTAAAAGGCAGCCTTTTTACTAGTAACATGATTTACTAGTAAATACAGCGGGAAAGGCGGTACTCTGATAGTGGGGAAGTGGTAACTTCCATGTATATTGCTTTGGAAATTCTGGGATTAATAGAAATGATGAGAGAGCCTTTGGTGTGTATGTGTGTAAGGGTCTTAGCACTAGATGACCTCAGAGTCTCTCCTGTAGGTTAGCGGTAGCCCATTTTATTGTACTTTGGAGATGGTTCTTGGAGACGTTTTGCAGTACTTTTGACATCTCATTGTGTAGAGTAAGGGTTGGAAAACTTTTTAATGTAAAGCTTAGTTAATATTTTAGATTTTGTGTAGGTCACATGTGCTTTGTCAGAGCTTTCTTGCTTTGTGAAGGGAATGTGTAACTGTGACCCAGTGGACTCTCATACATAAAGAGGTAGATTGGATTTGGCCTATAGGTCGTAGTTTACAGGCCCCTGGTAGAGAGGACTGCCAGATCTAAAAATATAAAGTATGAGCTTGATTACACTACAAAGCCAGGGCTAGCTATTTTAGGTGGTCTCTTTTCTCGATGAGATCCCGCCCCTCTGTGCTGTCTTATAGGTCTGTGTAAAGCATAGAGTCTACTGTTGAAAATACTTTTGCCTTCATAGTGATGTAAAATATGAATTGAGGAGCAAGGGTAATACCATCTGTCAAGGAGTGCAGCTAAAAAGTAGGGACCTTCTGTGTTTTTATCTAAAGACACCATAGTTGGTGTATAGTGATCTTCATAGATGGCATATTGTGAAGTATGCTTTTAAAAGTATTCTGAAGATAAATTGTAAAACATTTACTTTGAATGCAAAAGTATTGTAAATTAAAATGAGAAAGTATTATAAATTAAAGTATTTATGGTTTGAATTGGACAACAGTCAAATTATTAGAGCATGAAGGTTTAATATTTCTATCTTTTTTTTTTCTGGTGGTACTGGAGTTGAACTCAAGGCCTCATGGTTGCTAGGCATGGGCACTTACCACTTGAGCTACTCTGCTAGCCCTTTTTTGTGATAAGTTTTTTTGAGCTGGATTCTCAGAAACTATTTGCCTGGGGCTGGCTTTGAACCTCCGGTTTTCTGATCTCTGCCTCCTGAGTGGCTAGGATTATAGGCATGAGCCACTGGCACCTTGCTACTTCTACCTCTTAGAGTCTTAATCTCTTTTTTGGAA